AAAAAAAAAAAAAAAAAAAAAAAAAAAAAAACGAACCGTAACGACGAGATAAACGAAAAAAAAAAAAAAAACTGGAAGGAAAATAGAACGAAAAAGAAGCGAAAGAAGGGAAGGAAGCGCAGATGGAAAACGTTACGTACGATTGATCGTACTCGGTATTTTTAACCGAGGTTCCAATTTTTTCACGGTTAACGGTCAGCGAGCATTCGATCGAAACGTTGTAAAAGACAGCTGGTTTCGCAGTGTGACCAGCGGACAGCCAGGCGTGCAGCCGTCCTGAACTTAACTCGCCTCCCGAAATGCGTTCCTTGCACCGCCGCACCGGTGCGGGGTGGGGTCCCTTTCGATGAACAAACAGGCGCGTTACGTTTCCGCCCTCGATGCACGCCCACGCAATGTTAAAACCTTGGATTATGAAATAATAACGCGACTCGTTTCGGCAACCTCCTCTTCTATTTATTTAACGAACGACATCCGCACGCAAATTCGCGACAGTTTCAGAAACGTGACTCTGGCGGTAGCTTATCGATCAACGGACGAAACGAGCACCCGTCGACGAGCGAACAAAAGACAATATATATCGAGCCGCGATTCGGTAAACGTGAATGCTCATCAGGCCAGCAGCACGCGTTTCGCGTGCGATCACGATTTATGACAGATCCGGAAACGAAACGAAAACGGCCCCTCGGACCCCACCACTTTTGTCTCAGCAGCCATAAAAATCACCCCGGGACAGCTGAAATTCGAGAAACGCGTCGTTTAATAGAACGCGTCCGGGGTTTTCCGACGAAAATTCGTCTGAATTAGTATGCGCGCACGCGTGCATTAACATATTTTAGGGGAAACCAGAAGAGGAATCGGCCATTACGAATCTATTGAGAGAGAAAGAGAGAGAGAGAGAGAGGGAGAGAGAGAGAGAGAGAGAGAAAGAATAAAATGCATAGAGGAGGGGTAGGGAAATTAGAAGAGCCGGCGGTCAGAGAGAAAGAGGAAAAAAGACGGAGAGAAATTTTGGTTTGGGGGAGAACGGAATTTTTAGTGGCATTGTAGAGGAGACGGCGAGTTGGGTCTGGGTAAACGGTCCCACATCTGGTCCCCTTGTGCGAAGGTCGTGGAGAAGAAAGGTCGTGACCTTGGCCGGGATTTTTCCGAAAAAGTCCGCACAGAAACGAGCCAAACGAAGGAAGGGGATGGGGTGCAGAGGGTGGAGAGCACGTATCCTGTCCTTCCTCTGCCCCCCTTTGTCCATTTTTCTCGCCCCACGGACGAACGGTGACATGCAAAACGCGTGCGTCCATGTAAATCGCTACCCTCTTAATTGCATCGCATGGAACTACGCGTATTGTGCACTTAATGGCCCGTGCGCGGCAACGAGGGTCGTAGATTTTAATTATTGCAACGACTCGCAGTCGATAATAAATGGAGAGCAACGTCGAGGGTGTCATGGTTTTTCGCGTGCAGCGTGCAATTTATTTCGCCACGTACGAATGATTCCGCGGGATGAAATATCGCGATACGATATATAGAACAGCTTTCCTTTCCCGGCTCCGTTTTCGATCGAATTTCACGGACATTTACGGATCGTTGTCAACTGTGTACAGAAAAGAAAAGAAATCATGACGATCCTGGCCATCCTGGGGATCATGGAATTTCACTGCAAGCGGCGTGTCCCGAAACGAGTATTGCCTTGACTAACGTAATTGAGCACAAAATCAAATTTTACCCCTTTAAATCAAAATGATAGAAACACGAAATATATTTAATATATGTATATATAATATATAATATATAACGCAGTATATATATATATATATATATATTATATATACACAAAAATTAAATAAGTGGGTCATAGGCTAAGCGCGTTTCGTATTTAAGAACGAAAAAAATGATATATATAAATACATACACACACACACACACACACACACACACACACACACACACACACACACACACACACACACACACAACACACGATCTGTATTATATGAGCGTACGTGTTTGACGAGCGTATCGTTTCATGTAAAGTATTCTGCGCGTCTAGGGAAATTATTTTTAACCCGTCTAGTCATTTTCGAGAGAATGTACAATTCCAAAAAACTGTTCTAGTCAGACGACACAGTCGAAGACATATACATATACAATATGACTAACCTCGAATGGTTTATTCATATATACAAGATCGATCGTATATTTTTATATAAGACTGCGAAGTAAGAAAGTTTCTCCTTTTGTTGTTTCTTATTTTGTATTATTTTGTATATTTATTTCACCATTATTTATTTATAATTTATATAAACACGATCATCACGATGTGCACAGAAATAAAGTACCATTCATTTCTTTAAGTTTCTTATTCTTATGATTTTTTTGTTTCCTTTCGTTTCGTTTCGTTTGCGTGGTTACTCGAAACGTTTTACGTTTGCGTTTTACGTTTCCATTAAATTTTTACCATTTTTGCCGTTGCACGACATCAACTTGTATAATTCAATTCACCCAGACGTCGATGTACGTCAAATCGATCAATTTCATCGTATCGTGTTTTAAAAGGTGCCGCTCCTACGAGTTTTTCAACGCGGTGCAAAAGGGTGCCCCGACAAATTAAACGTGACAAATTGTTCGCGTGTCCCGCGCTCTTGTCGTTTTATCGGACAAAAAGTACAAGTCAAACACGACCGTATCCGGTTTCCTTTCCAGTTCGATCTTTTTTTTCTTCTTTCATCGAACGCACAACGTGGAATTGAGGGGGGGGGGGGAGAGAGAAGGAGTAAGAAAAAGAGGGATGAAAGATCGAAGCGGAAATTAGAGAGAGAAAAGAAAGAGTTTCTCTTTCTCGATGACTCTCCGCGAGCGTGTATATAGCGAGGGATAATATTTTATGGACAAACGAAAGGAAAAGCGGGTTGGTCAATTTTCAGCGAGAGGGAGAGCACGATCGGGAAGACGTGAAACGCTTGCGCTATATCGGAGTTTTCTTTTTCGTTGATGGCCGGAGTCAACGGTTTGAAAAGGGAAGGCGGAAGGCAACCGTTCCCATCTCTTTCGTACCGACGGACCGCCAATGAGTAAATGACACACAGCTATAGCCCCTACTCTCGTACGCAAACACACGAACGCACGTACACACCGAAAATTGGACGTCTACCCACCTACACCCACCGGGGATATGTATAAAAATCAATAACATCTTGCGGTTTCCAAGAGCTCCGAAAATGGG